AAACTGCTTACAATTGTAGGAAAACAGAACAAGGCACATGGAGTATTACATATATGCAACACAAACAAACACCCCCCCCCCCCCAAATGAGCATTGACAATGGTCTGTATGCAATAGGGATACAGTAAAAGGTTACTTTACATAACAAACAGTATGCAGGCTTCTCAAACAATTGTAGCAGGAAACTGGGCACTCTTAGTGTAGATATAGCTTCATCTCCAGGTAAAGTTCTTTGGTCATGTAAAGTCCCCTCTAGCACAGAATTTAGATCTTCTAGTTGTTATGGAGCCCCCACCTTTCAGCTTATGCTCGCCTTTAATTTGGAGAGCTTGGATAGCCATTCTCACATGGGCCTATCGCTTTACCTTCTTTTTTCTACCTCAGTTTCTATGAGAGAAGCATTTTCTAACTCAAACTCTAGATGACACTAGTATCATACATGAAATATATCAAACTATTTTTGACTTTTATTGACATAACCTGGGTGCATTGCTTGATCAAAAACTCCTCTAAAACAAGGGGAGCAAGTGTGTACAATGCTCATCAATCGTTTACATTTGCCCAATAGAACAATATTATTTCTTTTCCCATTGTGTCAGAGGACAGCATGTGCAAACATTGTTACAATGGCATTTGTCTGAAAAATGTTTTCACAAGAAGACTGATGTCTACTTCTAACAACAACAGATTTGTAAGTAAGAAAATTCACCAAACCTATAGTATATAATAAATATATTTTTTATATATATCTATATATATACTGTCTGTATGTGTGTATATACGAATATATACTATCTATCTATCTATCTATCTATCTATCTATCTATCTATCTATCTATCTATCTCCGTAGGGTTCAATATTGAGTTGGCCCACCCTTTGTAACTATAACAGCTTCAACTCTTCTGGGAAGGCTGTCCACAAGGTTCAAATGGCTGATGTCATAACTGATCACAAGTGGCGACTGCAGATCAACCAGAGGCTAAGATAGCGTTCCTTCTGGTGCACAACAATGCCCGGCCTCGTGGCAAGAGCAGGCAGTTCCTGGAGGATGAAGGAATTGATACCATTGAATGGCCCCCATGCTCACCATGCTTGTCCAATAGAACACCTCTGGGATATCATGTTTCGGTTCATCCGATGCCGCCAGGTTGGGCCTCAGACTGTCCTGGAGCTCAGTTATACCCTGGTCCAGATCTGGGAGGAAATACCCCAGGACTCCCTCTGTGCTCTCATTAGGAGCATGCCCCGACATTGTCCGGCATGTATATAAGCACACATGGGGGGGGGGGGGGCATACAAACTACTATTTTGAGTACCATTTTGAGTTGCTGCAATGAAATTTCAGCAAAATGGAAAAGCCTGCTGCATCATTTTTTCACTTTGATTTTCAGGGTGTCTTTGAATTTAGTCCTATGTAGGTTTTGCCCAATGAGATCTGATGTGTTTCTTTAATTTTTTTGAGCAGTGTATTATAATGTGAGTGGCTTTCTATCTGGGAGAGATTTTTTAGAAAATAATATTGCACTATATTGGTATTTTGTGTGAAATTGTGTGGATCTTCCTGTGAAACAACCACTGAAATACCAGACACAAGGGGGTTTATTTACTAAAGCTGGAGAGTCCAAAATCAGACTCCCTTCTGCATAGAAACCAATCAGCTTCTAACCTCAGCTTGTTCAATGAAGCTTTGGCAATGAAACCTGGAAGCTGATTGGTTTCTATGCAGAAGGGAGTCTGATTTTGGACTCTCCAGCTTTAGTAAATAAACCCCTAGGAGACACAGAGTTGAAGTGAATCTAAAAAATAATTAATTGGATACACAAGTATATGAAGGGTAAGGATGGATGAAGAACACTGATGAACAAATACACATATGGTTATTTATTATAGATGTGAGCACATTGGACAGGATTTGAAGCATGGTGTATTGCGCACACTACACTATATTATATTCCTTTTTTTGGAGATCATTGTATGGGAAGATTGGATTCACAGGAAGAAGTTGATGGTTGTATGACGTCTGATCTTCAGCTATACAGAGACAATATTGAACTTAGGCTGGTCACGTCTATCAATAAAAAGAGAATGTAAAAATATATAAAAATGAAGGAACACTATCATCATTTAAAATGACAAGTAATATAACAGAATATGTAAAAATAAAATTAAAGTTATATTAAAGAAAATAAAAAAAATAACCAGCATCATACTTACCTGCTCTTTGTAATGGTTTTGCACAGAGCAACCCCGATCATTTTCTCGGGTCTCCCGTTAGTACTACTGGCCCCTCCCTCCTGCCAAGTGGCCCCAGAGTAAGCTACTTGCTATGGGGCATTCAAGCAGGCTTGCTTCCAAGCTGCTGCTTCGCATGTCCATTCACACACAGAGCCACAGCTTAGCCCCACTTCCTCTCTCTCTTCATTGGCTAACTGGCTGTGATTGACAGCAGTGGGAGCCAATGGCTCCCGCTGCAGTCTCAGCCAATGAGGAGGGAGAGACCCCAGAGAACCAAGGCTCTTGTGCACAATACTGGATCGCTATGGGGCTCAGGTATGTATTATGGGAGCTGGGGGGGGGGGCTGCTGCACACAGAAAGTTTTTTACCTTCATGCATAATGCATGAAGGTAGAAATCTTGAACCTTTACAACCAGTTTAAAGGATAAATTCACTTTTGGGACATGTTCCACCCGTTTATAGGGTGGAATATGTAACGTTCCCATAGCTGCAGCCATTCTCACTCACCCCCCCCTCTGACAGATAGTACAGGAAGAAGTTCCCTCATACTGTTTGTCAGATTTGAAAAGGGAGTTCTGTGAATTAGTGTCTACAAGTCCCGGCAGCCTTAGCGGCTGTCGGCTTGTACCGTATTTTCCGGCGTATAAGACGACTGGGCGTATAAGACGACCCCCTACTTTTCCTGTTAAAATATAGTGTTTGAGCTATACTCGCCGTATAAGACTACCCCTCTCTTCCAACGCACACCAAATAAAAATGAAAAAACATCAGATTTGATTTCAATATGGTATGCTATTTCAGTATGGTATTCCAATGATGGGGCGCTATTCCTCCCACTGACACCAATGATGAGGCACTACTCCTCCCACTGACACCAATGATGGGGCACTATTTCATCCACTGACACCAATGATGGGACACTATTCCTCCCACTGACACCAATGATGGTGCACCATCATTAGTGTCAGTGTGTGAGGAATAGTGCCCCATCATTAGTCAGTGGGACGAATAGTGCCCCATCATTGGTGTCAGTGGGAGGAGTAGTGCCCCATCATTGGTGTCAGTGGGAAGAATCGTGCCCCATCATTAGTGTCAGTGGGAGGAATAGTGTCCCATCATTGGTGTCATTGGGAAAAATAGTACTCCATCATTGGTGTCAGCGGGAGGAATAGTGGCCCATCATTGGTATCAGTGGGAGGAATAGTGCCCCATCATTGGTATCAGTGGCAGGAATTACGCCCCATCATTGGTGTCAGTGGGAGGAAAGCGCCCCATCATTGGTATCAGTGGGGAGAATAGTGTCCCATCGTTGGTGTCAGTGGGAGGAATAGTGCCCCATCATTGGTGTCAGTGGGAGGAATAGTGCCCCATCATTGGTGTCACTGGGAGGAATAGTGCCCCATCGTTGGTGTCAGTGGAGGAATAGTGCCCCATCGTTGGTGTCAGTGGGAGGAATAGTGCCCCATCATTGGTGTCAGTGGGAGGAATAGTGCCCCATCATTGGTATCAGTGGGAGAATAGTGCCCCATCATTGGTATCAGTGGGGAGGAGGAATAGTGCCCCATCATTGGTATCAGCGGGAGGAATAGTGCCCCAATCATTGGTATCAGTGGGGGGAGGAATAGTGCCCCATCATTGGTGTCAGTGGGGGAGGAATAGTGCCCCATCATTGGTATCAGTGGGGAGAACAGTGCCTCATCGTTGGTGTCAGTGGGAAGGAGGAACAGTGCCTCATCGTTGGTGTCAGTGGGGGAGGAACAGTGCCTCATCGTTGGTGTCAGTGGGGGAGGAACAGTGCCTCATCGTTGGTGTCAGTGTGGAGGAGGAATAGTGCCTCATCGTTAGTGTCAGTGGGGGAGAGGAGCGGCTGCTCCTTCTTCCAGTGTGGCCCCTCGATTTTCGCAGGGCCACTCGGCTCCGCCTCCTCCCCGGTGATTGGTCGCTTGTGTGCCTTTCCAGTGCTGGCGCCCAATCACCGGTGAGGAGGCGGAGCCGAGCGGCCGCATGACCATCGAGCGGCCGAACTGAAAGAAGGAGCAGCCGCGCTTCCTGGACCGGATCGTCGCGGGACCGGAGCCAGGTAAGGTACAGCAGCCCCTCTGCCCACCCCTGTACTTAGTGTCCGTTGGAGGAGGAGGGGGGGCGGCGCCGCGCTGCCCCTCGAAAAAGTGCCGCCCTGACACCGGCTCGCATCGGCGTATAAGACGACCCCGACTTTTCAGAAGATTTTCAGGGGTTGAAAAGTCGTCTTATACGCCGGAAAATACGGTAGTTTTCAATGAACTACCACACTGCTGTGAAGCATCGTGATAGTTCATTGAAGCTTCCTGTCAGAATATCTGCTTGACCGTACATTCCGTACAGCAAGCAGATATACTGACAGATTTACAGGAGACCTGCATGGCATCCCTGATCTGATTGCTGGTGCATTTATTATTTTTGTCCAAGGTGCACTTCACTTCAAATGAACATCTGATGACCCGTCTGCGTTACGGGAGAATAGGCCAGATGTATATGCGCGGACTGTGCTCCGTATCTGTATATGACCTGATATGCCTTTCTAACTTCAATAAATACTTTTTTGGAAAATAAAAAAAAAAAAGGTGAACTTATCCTTTAAGGCTGCAAAAATGTAAAATAAATGATAGCTTGCAAAAGAGAATATAGTAAACACCCTAAAATTCCAATATATTGTATTAATTGTAAAAAGGTCAGGTATGAGCATGTAGGCTCGTTACAAGATCACTTAGAGTTGGTGACTGGGGACAAAGAGCAGGCAAATGTACTAAATGCCTTCTTCAATTCTGTCCATACAAAAGAAAATGGGGGTGCTCAAGGGCATAATGGGGATAGTATGAACATAGCCCCAAAAGAAGACTGCAGACATACTACAAGAGATGATCAGAGACTGCAGACATATCACAGGAGATGGTCAGAGAATGCGGACATACTACAAGAGATGGTCAGAGACTGTGGACCTACTACAGGAAATGATCAGAAACTGCAGACATACTACAAGAGATGATCAGAGTCTACAGACATACTACAGGAGATGGTCAGAGATTGCAGATCTACTACAGGAGATGATCAGAGACTGCAGTTCTACTACAGGAGATGATCAGAGACTGCAGCTCTACTACAGGAGATGATCAGAGACTGCAGACCTACTACAGGAGATGATCAGAGACTGCAAACCTGGTCAGAAACTACAGACATACTACAGGAGATGGTCAGAGATTGCAGACATAGTACAGGAGATGGTCAGAGACTGCAGACATACTACAAGAGATGGTCATAGACTACAGATATACTACAGGAGATGGTCAGAGATTGCAGACATAGTACAGGAGATGGTCAGAGACTGCAGAAATACTACAAGAGATGGTCAGAGACTGCAGACATATTACAGGAGATGATCAAAGTTTGCAGACATATTACAGAAGATGGTCAGAGACTGTGGACTTGGTGCAGGAGATGGTCAGAGACTGCAGAAATACTACAAGAGATGGTCAGAGACTGCAGACATATTACAGGAGATGGTCAGAGACTGCAGACCTATTACAGGAGATGGTCAGAGATTGCAGACCTAATACAGGAGATGATCAAAGATTGCAGACATATTACAACAGATGGTCAGAGACTGGGACATAGTACAGGAGATGGTCAGAGACTGCAGACAGACTACATAAGATGGTCAGAGACTACAGAAAAACTACAAGAGATGGTCAGAGACTGCAGAAATACCACAGGAGATGGTCAGAGACTGCAGACATATTACAGGAGATGATCAAAGTTTGCAGACATATTACAGAAGATGGTCAGAGACTGAAGATATAGGAGATGGTCAGAGACTGCAGACCTAATACAGGAGATGGTAAGAGACTGTGGACATAGTACAGGAGATGAGCAGAGACTGCAGACATAGTACAGGGGATGGTCAGAGATCGCAGACATACCACAGGAGATAGTCAGAGACTTCAGGCATATTAAAGCAGATTGTCAGAGACTACATGCTTATTACAGATGATAAGAGACCGCAGACCTAATACAAGAGATGGTCAGAGACTAAAGACATATTACAGTAGATGGCAGGGACTGTTGACATTCTACAGGAGATGCTCAAAGACTGTGGATATGATACAGGAGATGGTCAGAGACTGCGGACATAGTACAGGAGATGGTCAAAGACTGCAGACACACTACAAGAGATGGTCAGAGACTGCAGAAATACCACAGGAAATGGTCAGAGACTTCAGTCATTTTACAGGAGATTTTCAGACTCCAGAAATATTACAGTAGATGGTCAAAGACTGAAGATATATTTTAGGAGATGGTCAGAGACTGCAGACCTAATACAGGAGATGATCAGAGATATTCTGCAATGGCACTCCCAGTAACACCCAGAATAGTACAGTGTTACTATTGTAACATGGAACTACTCTGATGAAAGTTTTTGTTTGAAATAATAAAAAATAATGTAAAAAAACCTAAATAAACTAAAATATTGAGAAAAAATAGTTTTTTTAAAAAAAAAATTTTAAGGATTTTTTTTTATAAACGACTTGCAAACCACTCATCCACAATGTGCGGCAACCGGTGTCTCTAGTCTAAAAGTAAGTAAAAGCACTACATTTTACATACATATATTAGATTAGCACATTTATCCTTTTGATCGCCCCTATTAACCCTTTAATCACCCCGTCACACAGCTAGTGCCAGTAGTGCAGTGTATAACTGCCACTAGTGACATCAGATAACTTCAGGGTCAGTTAGTGCCCCTCCCAGCATGCAAACTATCGCACTAACACTATAGGTCTCTGATCACCCCCATTACTAGTATACTAGTGCCTCCTTGGTATAGTGTCCCCAAAAACGTGTTAGCAGGATCAGCCCTGTTTGTTGCCAGCACTAGCGTTTAGCCCCTCTACTGTTTTTCACAGATTTGTATCGATTGTGGGCCAAAGCAATTTATATGCACAACAATACATCGCTGCCCACCCAAATTCAGCTCTTGTCTGACAATTCACATGGAAACCTATCATGGTTTCCGAATTTGAAACATTTTTGGGCCTAGCCCTCAACATGGGTATTACAAAAAAAGAATGAATTGCGGTCATTTTGGTCCACAGACCCAAGTCATCATATGCCCAACAAGGACCAGCAATGTACTTGTGTGTCGCTTACCTTTTAGTGGTTATAACAGCTGCAGGCATCATCCTGGTATCATTTTTTTCAGCTGGCAGTTGGCATGTATGTAAAAGCAATCCTTGTGGCTAATTAACTGCTAGATCGCTTTTGTAAGCAGCGGGAAAGGACATTCCCCCCTGCCCCCCAGCCGCCTTCCACAGCTTTCTCTGGCTCTCCTGTCTCTCCGGGGAATCTGAGAATGCAACTGGAAAACCTGAGAATGCTGACCATAGAGCTGATCAAAGACCGGAATGGCTCCAAGCATCTCTATGGTCTAAGAAACTGGAAGCATTTCATAACTTCAGTTTCGCCTGATGTAAACAATGCCATTTAAAAATTGGGAAAGTATCTGATCACACAGATGTTGGTGTAATCAGATGCTTTAAGGGCAGAAGAGAAAGCTAGAGTCTAATAGACTTCAGATTTCTTAGGAAAGAATACCTATCACTGCCTATTGCTATCCCAGGGGATATCTACATTCCCTGTGATAACAATAAAAATGATTAAAAAAAACAGTGTAAACAAAAAAGCCAAATAAATGATTTAAAAAAATCACTGCTAAAGGGGCATGGTGAGTATTTTTTGCAGATCTCATTTGTTACCACAAGTTTTTGGAAAATGAAAAACTGAAGAAAGAAAACGAAAATGTACTTTCTCTTTTCCTTTTATTTATTTTTCAAAACCCTGTGCCAAAATGACATCTGCAAAATACTCTCCTGGCATTTTAGGGTCTCCAAAACTGATAGGTAGTAAGAAAGTGACCAAGAGATATGCCGTTTGAAAGCCTGAAGGTGGTCACTGGATTTTGGGGGCCTGTATGTAGCTAGGCTGCCAAAAATATTCACACATTCCCATGGCATATGTGAGCAATATATCATGTAAATTACAACATTGTGTAGAAAAAAGAATTGTCTTTTTCAAAAGTTTGTGGCAATTAAATCTTCCATGGACTCAGCATACCTCTCAGGAAATTCCTTGGGTTTTCTACTTTCCAAAAAGGGGTCATATGGGGTTTTTTTGCACTGCCCTGGCATTTTAGCACCTCAAGAAATGTGATAGGTAGTCAGAAAGTAAAAGCTGCATAAGGCTCCATGCACTCTAGTGGTTTTTTAAGCTCAAAAAATGCTAAACAAAGCTGGCTAAAAACGCAGGTAATACCGTTTTTTTAATAGCGTTTAGGAGCGTTACCATTTTTACAGTACATGTAGACAAAAAAAAAAAAAGCTAGAAAAAAGCTGTTAGTAGCGTTTTGTGAGTGTTTGGAAGCGTTAGTTTTTTTTTCTGCTGGGAAAACGCTCCAAAAACTCTACAAAAACATTTTTTTTTTCTGCTCCTAGAAGCTGAAACTCCAAAAAATGCTAATATCCCAAAGTAGTGTGCATGGACACATAGGATAACACTAGTTTCTAGGAGCAGAAAAAAAATGTTTCTAGGAGCTAGTGTGCAAGGAGCCTAAATGTCAATATATAATCCATAGTTTGTAGATGCTATAACTTTCACACAAACCAATTAATATACACGTATTAGTATTTGTTTCTACCAAAGACATGTAGCAGAATACATTTTGGCCTAAATTTATGGCTAAATTTGAGTTTACTGGATATTTGCTATAACGGAAAGTTGAAAACTTTTTTTTTTTCAAAATGTGCGGTCTTTTTTCGTTTATATTACAAAAAAATAACTCATTGGTGATAAACTACCACCAAAAGAAAGCTTTACTTGTGTGAAAAAAAGGACATAAATTTTGTTTGGGTACAGCATGTCATGACCATGCAATTACCAGTTGAAATAGTGAAGTGCCGAATAGCAAAAAATGGCCTGGTCAGGAAGGGGAAAAGTGGTGTAGTATCACTGGACTTGCGCAAGGACAATGTGGTGCCTATTTGTTTTTTTTTTCAAAAGAGCTCAAAGTTTATGTCAAGTACCTAAAGACCAATTAATTTAACCTCTACAGTTGAGAAGATACTTGGGGTTTGATAAAAGGCCACATAAAAGAGTTTTTGCTAGAAAACAATATTTTAAACAATCAACAGCATGGATTCACAAAACACTGAAGTTGTCAAACAAATGTTCTCTTGGAAACCTAAACAAAAGAGTGGCTGTGGATATAGTGTGCATACAGCTAATGGGTACATTAAAAGAATATGGAAACCCAACATTTCATATTCCTGATATGTGCCTGTTGCATCATGGACTTGTATGAAAAAGTATCCTGTTCTCCTTGTGATGCTTCCTTTGTGTGAAATCCCTGGTGTTTCGGCGAACCCTCTGCTCTGAACCCGGAAAATGGCCATCAATGTACAGCTGTGCTGAAAAATTTGCACACCCTGGCAAAATTCATGACATTTTGGCGTTGATATTGAAAATATGACGGATCATGCCAAAAACTGCCTTGTATTTAAGGCATAGTGATCATATGAAGCCATTTATCATCAAATAGTTGTTTGGCTCCTTTTTAAATCATATTGATAACAGAAATCACCCAAATGGCCACGATCAAAAGTTTACATACCCTGGAATGTTTGGCCACACAAGCTGACACATGCAGGCTAAAATGGAGATTAAAAGTTAATTTCCCAAATCTGTGGCTTTTTACACTGCAATTAGTGTCAGTGTATAAATAGTCAGTGAGTTTGTTAGCTCTTACATGGATGCACTGGACAGGCTAGATACTGAGTAATGGGGGAGCAAAAAAGAACTGTCAAAAGACCTGTGTAACAAGGTAATGGAACTTTATAAAGATGGAAAAGGATATAAGAATATTTCCAAAGCGTTGAATATGCCAATCAGTACTGTTCAACCACTTATTAAGAAGTGGAAAGCTAGGTGAAACCAATCCAAGATTTAAACCAACATCCAGGCACTACTTACTTGGTAACAGAGATGTGTAGTAGCAATTAAATAAATCAATGGCCACTCAACCACGCTGCTCAAATAAAACCACCAGGAGTTGTGGAGAAATCATAGAAAAACACA